CTACTCCCCATTCTGCCCCAGAAAGGAAAAAAATTGACCCTGGTTTTATGTATAATCCATTTTCAATTTTTTTTTTAAATTATAAATTGTCTTTCTGCTTTCTTGAATTTTTGACCAAACTGCAAAGTGGAAAAGACACTGTATTTTTTTTTTTTAAATGCACATTCATAGAACAAAGGGAAAGTAGGACGTACAAAATTTTTACACAGTAATATTATATCTATAATGCAAATATTTCTCCTTATTACCTGCTTTGGATCTCCTTTAAAAACAAAATAATCAAGTAGAATTTATTTCAGGTGAGGCTGTTTTAAAGATTGTCAAGAAACTGTACCATGTTACTCTTACCAGTTCTCACTGATTTAATGAGCTGTGGATGTAAACCCTAAACTGAGCATATGATGTATAGCAAAAAACTTGCAGTAACTTAATTTACCAAATATTTATCTTACCAAGAGTATAGATCATTCTTATAATTGCAGTAAGCACTCTAGCTGTACTAGTAATTAAAAATTGTGCAGACATAATAACACAGTCTAGCAAACTAAGGGTATTTCAAAATAGGGTTCTTAGTGTTGCTTGATTGGTATTTCCAGAGGAACACCCTGAAGTCAGATGCCACAACTGAGGAATTTTTAATGTTGAAGCAGAAGGTGACCCTCTGTGCTGCAAGGAAGAGACACCTGTGAGACAGAGAGACAAGCACGTGCTTCTATCACCCTTTTTTTTTTTCTTTTTTTTAATCCACAAGAGTGGTTCTAGGAAAGTAGATTAGTCAGAATTGATGTAGCCAGGGACAGCAGAAAAGCTACTTTTCAGGGGGCTTTGTGAGACAGATCCAGCCACAGCACTTACGCTGTTTTAGCAACATGTCTTTTCCTGGACTCAGTTCCTGATTTACCTCTCATGTACAATCTTCCTGTGGAAGATCCTATTGATTGCAGCAGGAATAATAATCATACTTCAGCATTTATAAGGATTAAAATCTATAAATTCTCTTCTCTCATCATGTATTCAATGGTCAGAGGACATCAGAACCCAGCGACCTGGAACAGAAAAGCACAGAGGAAGACAAAAGTCTGTTCTCTGGGAAGGTCCATGCTCACTGTCATTTTTTTCCTTTTTTTTTTCTTTTTTTTTCTGTGTTTCTGAGGTTGCCCAACATTACATGCTCTGAATTATCCTCTGGATCCACCTTTTGCTCTGTTCCAGAGCCTAGAAAGACCAGTCTCCTAATTTAACTTAGTTGCCTACATTTAAATTACCTGGTCATCCCACCACATATATATTTCTGATATTGAAGATCTCTATTCACTTTCAGCAATTCCCTGGGTGAGTACTTCTGGTATCCATAAGAAATTCTATATGATCCACCTCAACATAACCTTTCTTCTTTGAGAAGATAACAAGAGGTTTTTATGGCAACCAGGAAAGAGGGTATGTTATATACATATATAACACCAGACATGGTAATGTTGGTTTAGAAGAAAAACCCTGTGAATGGCAGAGCTCACCTGAAGAGAGAGTGATGCTTCATTCTTTAAACACTGGATCTGATCTTTCATGTACTAAATATGTGTTTTAATGCAGATGTATAAGTCTAGGAAACATAGACATGAAATATCAGACTGGGAAAGCAATGAAACCTTTACTTCTACCACTGGCACACACCTGATCTCACCCTTGTTTTTCCAAATTAGTCCTGCCTCATTTGATGACTGACCTTAGTGTGAATCAGGGCAATCTTACTGTGCCATTTCCCTGTTCTACAGTTTCACCTCTACAATACTCTTTGAACTGAATCTTTATGTGCACCAACACTGACATATCCTTTCCTCATCCTGCTCACACAAGTATTTAATCAGGTGGCATATTGCTCATAGCCAAACAAAAAGCTGGCACATTCAGTTCCTCTGTACAGACTTTGCTATTCAAGCAGAGAACACCTGTCCTGTTGGCCGTGTTCATTGGAGGGTATTGAAAGACCAGAGAGACAAGCATATGTTTTTTTATTCCAGTATCTGGATCTCATCTTATAATGGAAGCAAACACTGCCCTGAGAACACTGCTCACAGGCCAGCGGCTCTGGTCTGTGACATGTCCTGTGCTTGTAAGACACAACGCATGTGAACCTCTTCTGTAATGCCCCAGATGTCTTTGGATGACCTTTTATTTTATTTTGAGCAACAGTTAACTCTTCTCAAAAAAACCCTCTAAATCAGTGAAATACATATGAGCAAAATCTATTAGTGAAAATGCTTGATTAAAATTGGCTGAAACTTTTTGAAGTTTTGCGAACTGTTTAATAGTTTAAAAGTGGTATTCTGCAGAAGTGAATGAATAAAACAGTAGCAGTTATAATGGATAATCCATTGATTTCCCTGAGAATGTTTATATGAGTCACTATACTCTTCTACAGGTATCTCTGTACCTAAGGGTTTTGAAGGCTCCATGTATCTACAAAGTGTTATGGTCTACACCAGCAACTATTAAATTTATCTTAAATTTATTTGAGAAGCAGAAAAATGACTGTACAGTGTGTAGCTGTTTCCCATTTAAAACTTAGCTATAAACAAGCATTTTCACTAACACTCTGTATTTGAAATGTCCACTACAAAGAAAACTTTTCTTTAATATTTCACGTATGTTACACAGACTGTCATCAGATACTTATGGTCTTCTTGTTTTGCCAATTCACAAGTAAACTGACAAAGATTACCCTTTTGATCAGCTGACCCTAATTAGCTTTAATTGTAGCCTTCCTCATCAGGTAGTCTTCAGGTGTAGTAATATATGACCAGCAGGGGAGGGAGGGGATTCTCTCCCTCTGCTCTGGTGAGACCCCCCCTGCAGTGCTGCCTCCAGCTCTGGGGTTCCCAGCACAGGAGGGACATGGAGCTGTTGGAGTCCAGAGGAGGTCAGTAAGTTGATTAGATGGATGAACTATCTCTGCTATGAAGAAAGGCTGAGAGAATTGGGATTGATTAGCTTAGAAAAGAGAAGACTTTGTCCACTAAATGTGGCCTTCCAGTACCTGAAGGGAGCCTACAAGAAACATGGAGAGAGACTTTTGACAAGGGCATGTAGTGACAGGACAAGGGGAATGGCTTTAACTTGAAAGAAAGTAGATTTAGCTTAGATATTAGGAAAAAATTCTTTACTGTGAGGGTGGTGAGCCACTGGAACAGGTGGCTGAGGGAAGCTGTGGCTGCTCCATCCCTGGAATCGTTCAAGGCCAGGTTAGATGGAGCTCTGAGCAAGCTGGTCTAGCGGAAGGTGTTCCTGCTTATGGCAGGGGGTTTGGAATTAGATGATCTTTCAGGTCCCTTCCAACCCAGGCCATTCTATTATTCTATGGTATTTATCTGCAGGGTAGATTGTGAGTATAAGGGGACATCGTTCCCTGATTTGCATAAAGAGGCTTTGGAGTTTTCATCTTGGCTTTGTATGGAATACTAATAATTCTCTCAGACGCTTAAAAAAAACCCCTGACAGTGTCACGCTTGGCGACGGTAAAATAGTTGTCACTGACTGCACACAAGAATTAACTTGCGCACCATTTCTTATGTGTGTGTGTGTGGGGGGAGCCGTGTACATTTTGCAGAATTACTGTTGGGATCTTTTGCGCGGAGGACTTATTAAAAGAATAAATCTCTAGTATATGCAAAATAAAGGGGAAAAGGAAAAAATAAAAGGAAAAAGAATAAAGGAAGGCTCAGAGCCCTCAAAGCCGCCGCACAAAAGGCAGCGCCGCCCCCGCCCGACAGTAGGGGGCGCTCGGGCTTCACCGAGCGGCGCTGCCGCGACCCGGGCACGGCGGGGCTGCGGGGACACCGTGGGGGCTGCGTGTCCCCTCACGGGGCTGCTGTGACACCGTGGGGGCTGCGTGTCCCCTCACGGGGCTGCGTGTCCCCTCACGGGGCTGCTGTGACACCGTGAGGGCTGCGTGTCCCCTCACGGGGCTGCTGTGACACCGTGGGGGCGCGTGTCCCCTCACCGGGGTGACACCGGGGGGCTGTGACAGCGTGGGGGCTGTGTGTCCCCTTCACGGGGCTGTGTGTCCCCCCGCGGGGCCGTGTGTGACACAGTGGGGGCGTGTGTCCCCTCACGGGGCTGCTGTGACACGGTGGGGAGGTGTG